GCTCAGTAGAAAGATGAGGCAGATTTTGATTTGATACAGATCAAAGGCATCTACTGAGTATCATTAGATAAGTACTTCGATATAGTTTTTAAAAAATATTTCAGTTTGTATATATTCAAGGACTTTATTAATAGATTTATTTAGAGGCAAATTATACACTCTATAATAACTTAACAAGAAGAATTTGTCCTCTTATTTATATCAAAATTATAGGCAAGAGAAAGAACAAGATCAAATGTTTTTTCTTATTAATTGTCATTGAACCATTATTGAACTCATGCCATTTAACCCTTTTTATCTAATTTCAACCCCTTTCTTACAGCCATTTTCATTAAAACGTTCGATAAAATAGAAAGAAGGCAAAAAGAAGGTAAGTTGAATGAAAGCTTTTGCATTATCATCATTCTTTACTTGTCAATTCACTCATCTATCTCATTAACTTTTCTATCGATTTATATGCTTGTATCATTTACAACTACGCACCTTATCTGACAAGGTAATATTATCTTGACAGCTGTTATACTGAATCAGATAAGTGTCTTTTGCTTCAATAGGATTGTTAACAGAGGCTTGGCTTTCATACAATTGATGCTTCCTTATATAGGACTTGGCTTGGGCAGGTTTCTTGCATATGATAGTCATGGTGTAATTTTGGGTCCCAGGACACTGCAGTATGACAGTGCTTGCGTAATGATTTTGTGCTTCTATCATGCAGAATTCTACATGATTCTTAGATTCTTTTGCATGTGGTTTTGTCAGTAACAGTAACATGAAAAAATAATAAACAGAAATAAATTCATGATCATAACAGGATTAGAGGTCTAAAAATAAGTATATGTTTTTTTTTCAGTTTAACGCGTGATTCACCAAATCTTTTGACCGAACAATTATTGTCAGAATCTCAAGATGAAAATGAAATCTTTTTTGATCGTGATCCGGATGTATTCGAGTTTATAGCAAAATATCTTAGAGGATATAACATCTTTCCATTAACAAAAGAAGATTTACCTGTGGGTTGGAATCTGCTTAATTTTATACAATGCTTAACGCAAGATGCGTGTTTTTTCAAACTTAGAGGACTTTTCATTTCCATTCGTCCATTTTATTACTTTGGTATGAGCCCCTCTGCCATAGACATTTTTTCTCGTGAAGAAAAGATAGTTGTCAATTTGCAAAAAGTCGATCCCACCAACTTTCATATTGAAAATGATAATGTCATGCACATTGTTCAAGGTCAACCCGTTAAAGCAGAATTTTTTACTGGGAATTTGGCTTGTGATTTGATTTCAGATAATAATTGGGAATTTAAATTTCTCAATAACTTGGATAATGTGATGGTTAAGAGAATCTCCAAAGAGATTCGACCTCAGGCTAATCCAGATGTTGAATATTATCCTGGTGAATCGGATGGGGCTTTTTTTTCCATTGATGATATTGAGATGAATGGAAGTAATGTTTATGATCATACTGTGGAAAGATCTTTTCCGCTTCAACAAACGAATCGACCTTTTTCTTGTGTAAGAATATGGTTAAAAAAGTTGGTGTTTTCGTTTCGAATACCAAGTGATCCGGATAAGCCACTGATCATAGTGCCTATATGGGGTATCGGGCTTACACAAATTTATCACAAGTCTTTGAAGTATGCAAAGTTTTTCTAATTGGTAGGTCTCTTATTATAGTATGAAATATAATTATCGTGTAATTCATATAACCTTATCATTTTACTAATTTCTTAAACCGTTTGTATTTTATTCACATATGATCACATAGAAATTAGATTAATTCAATCATTATTTGAAATAAGATAATTAGCTCTGATGTAGAAATGAAAAAATTTTTAATTTGGAATCTGTTTATGAAGAATCATGCAGCCTAATAAATCGTTGGATCTTTTATTATCTAATTTTTTTTTAATGCAATTTAGTTTAATTAATCATTGGTAAAAATCTACTATATTCGAAAATTCTATTCAAGAGTAAATTATCAGCCAAGATTTTAATAATCAGAATTAAATTTCATTATTATTTACTAGTTGTTCTATTCTTTTGAAAATGCTCGTTGGCAATCCTACGACATTATAATAACATCTACCATTTGGAAATTAAAAGGAAATATCTTAAAATCAAAAGAATCAGATGAGCAGTAATAAAATGTTAATTTTATACGA